AGCATAAATACAAAGTTATACTGAGGTAGTTAAATTACAACATAAAGCTTGTCTTCTTGCAATAATTTCAGATGCTAATTTTTGAATAAAAGGATGCCTTATCTTGCCACTTGTAGTAGTAAAAAATTCTTCTAATTTTCCAGGAATATTATCCCTTTTTTCATATTCATATGCTTGCATAATTAAATCTAATCTGTCTAAATCTTTAACATATTTTGCTTCCGGAGATTCTTGCTTTTCATATTCCTATAAATAAAAAGTGAAAATTACAAAAAAGTTTAATTATAATCTTTTGTTTATGTGTATATATATATATATGTATATATATATATATATAAACATATATCAATTTTTCATACACGAAATATCTCTAATATCATAGGTCCTCTATCTCCAAGAAGTTTGCAAATATCTTCCATAGCTTCATCTTCTAACTTGTGTTTAATTTCAGATGGAATACCACAAGAAGGTGTTATATCTCCCACAATACATTCAGCTAAATCATGTATTAAAGCCATTTGCATGATTCTGTAATAAATATAGTAATAAAATCTATAAATAAATAAAATCTCTAGAAAAATAACTTTATATATAACTTTATATATAATAGATAAAATAATAATTAATAGATATTAATAAGAACTTTATAAATATATATATTTTATTCATATAAATAATATAAATTTCAAATTCATATAAATAATATAAATATAATAATGTAAATAATATATTATAAATAAATATATAAATATTCATAATATAAATGATATTTCATACTTGACTTTATCTAAATTTTCGTTATCTACCAAGAAAGAAAACATAGCCATCCTATACATATGACCTGCAATTGTTTCTGGATCAGGAACATTTTTAAGAACCCATCCTGTTCTTTTCATATGCTAAAATAATTAATAAATATATAAAATATATAATATATATTAAGATACAAAGAATATTTTTTAATTAATTAAAAAAAATAAAAAGAAATGATAATTAACTTGAAAAATAATAATATATAATAGATAAGATATAAAGATATAATAATATCTGAATTTTATAATTAAATAAAAATCAATAGAAAATATTTAACATTCTTTCATTATTATTACAACATTTAAAGGTTAAAAATTGTTGTATGATGAATATATTACATTCAATAATATATATAGTTGTTATTTATTATATAAAATTATATTGAGAATACTAAAATTAAATATTTAAGATATCTATACAAAATGATCATAAATCATCAAATGATGGATTTATTTTAAAAGATTGCAATAACTTACTTTCAATCGACCAACCAATTCCATAAATTCTTGTAAATTCTTGATATCCATAATTTTTGTAATTTCTTGATATGTATTATTAAAGAATTAAATATTTTCTTCTCACTTAGATGTTTAAACTATATATATATATATATATATATATACATTCATTAAGTGATAATCAAAACGGAAATTTTAACTATTTAAAACAATGTAAAACTCAATTCTACAAATATTAAAAGAACAAATAATAACAAAATGATGATATAATTGATATATATCAAGTCTTTGTGCACGCAATTTTATACTCGAAATACTCTGTACTAAATGAATATAAACTTACACGTGATACTATCACTATACTAACAATCCAAAGTCAAATTCATTGTTTCCTAGGTTACATAATTATTTCTACCATTCTAAACGAAATATTAAAGTTCAGAGAGAGAGAGAAAGAGAAGGAGAGGAAGAGGAAGAGGAAGAGGAAGAAGAATTGAAGAATTATATTATTTTAAATTTTTTTTTTATAATCAATTAAAATTTATTGAAAAGAAATTTTATGCAAAAAAACTTCAGGAAACTAAAAAATATTTGAAAAGGAATATATATAAAGTAATAAAATTTAATTTACCTTGACAGTTTTTAATTTTAATTTTTATTTTAACTTTCATTAAAACTATTTAAAAATGAATAAATACATAAATATATAAATATTTATTTACACATTTATAATTATTGCGCTATATGAATATCTATATTAATTGAAATAATTTATTCAATTGTTTTTAACTTTATCTAATATATATATATATATATATACGTGCTATGCACACTATATTATAGTATAATCGCAATAAATATATATACATATTTAATATATATTTAAGTATTCTATATATATTTAAGTATGCTTCTATATTTATTATTTTTTAAAACTGAAACTAATTTGTTTTGAAAAAATACACAAATATTTTTGATAACAAAAATTAAATAAATTGGTCTTTATATTTTACTTAATTTTATTCATAATTTAACATTTTATAAAACATTTATGAAAAATCGCCTATATTAAATTAAGGATGATATAAGATAAAAAATTTCGCTTACTTGAAAATACTCCTTTAATTGAGATACAGAGCCAAATAATTGAAAACGAGCACATCTTTCAGTCAGCTGACCTGTCTTGTGATAGCAGGCTCGATTGTAAAGATTGACTTGCTATTGTAGACTGGACTTACTTCGATTCGTTTCTCGTTTCGTAAGTTTCTTATTGTCATCTATTTCATTGATTATAGATTATGTTATTTCATTTTAATTAATTATATAGTCAAAGCAATTATAACGATTTCGTACTATATAGAGGAAACCAGAGATTTTTACAAAAAAGACTGGCGCGTATAGTATCGATCGTGCCAGTTTGAATGCGCCATCGTTTTTCGATCACCATAAGAATTTATGCGTTTTACTCGTTGTCTACAATTACACGGAATCATCGATTTCATATATATTTATTCAAAAAATGAGTTAAGCCATTCTATTTTTATGGCAATATCTTGATTGGATTCGACATTATATTAAGCGAGCAGACGTCTCGCGGGCTTAAAGGGCTACGCCTACTTTTTAAATTGCTGCTCACGTGAATTTTATGATGAATGGATATATTAGCTGACATCAACTTTCTCATCGATTTTGACCGTAATTGACTTAGACCGCGTGTAAGAACATTCAATTCAAAATACATTGTCCACGATCGTTATTTTTTTATGTTCGTTTTGTCATATTTTTGTTAGTGTGCAATGAGTTGCTGTTAATTAGATGTCAGATTGAAGTGGCATCAATCATAATTATACTTTTATATTATTCATTAGAACTGAATATTATTCTTTAGGATTGTTTTTATATTAAAACTTACATTTCCCTGGAATGATTAACCATATATATTTTGTTTTTTATTGTATTTTTTTTTTTACAAAATATAATTATAAGTGTTAATTTAACTTTTGTTCTATTAAATGTTTCTCTTTGTACATCATAACTTTTTTTATATTTTATAATATAAATTATTTTCAGCTATTTGTTGGTTTTACTTGAATAACAATTCACAATGACGAGCCAAGGTTTACCCAAAATTAGTAATGAAGAGAGAGAAACCAAATTTGGTTATGTATATGCTGTATCTGGCCCTGGTTAGTTTATAATATTATATATATTTTTTATTGACTTTATATTTTTGAATATATTTTTTAATAAATAATTTTTTTTTTATTTTCTTATAGTGGTTACAGCTGAACAAATGTCAGGATCAGCTATGTATGAATTGGTTAGAGTAGGGTATTATGAACTGGTTGGAGAAATAATTCGTTTAGAAGGTGATATGGCTACTATACAGGTATAATATTTTTTATATACTTTGAAAGTATATATTAAGTTACATTATTATTATATTATTATAACATATATATTTATATATTGGTATAGGTATATGAAGAAACTAGTGGTGTAACTGTGGGTGATCCAGTTTTACGTACTGGAAAGCCATTATCTGTAGAACTTGGACCTGGTATTCTTGGCAGTATCTTTGATGGTATTCAAAGACCATTGAAAGATATTAATGAGCTTACAAACTCTATTTACATCCCAAAGGGTATTAATGTACCAGCATTATCAAGAAGTGCTGCTTGGGAATTTAATCCATCTAATATCAAAAATGGAAGCCACATTACTGGTGGAGATTTGTTTGGTGTAGTTTATGAGAATACATTAGTGAAACATAAAATGATTTTACCTCCAAAAAGTAAGGGAACTGTGACTTATATTGCACCTGCTGGCAATTATACAGTGTCTGTAAGTTATAAATTAATACATAAGTTTGATTTAATTATTTTAATTATATATCTGACATATATTTTTTATTTTATAGGATGTTATTCTGGAAACAGAATTTGATGGTGAAAGGCACAAATATACTATGCTTCAGGTATGTAAATAATTTTTCCTTTAATATTATTATATTTATATAATAATATGATTCTATATATATAGGTATGGCCTGTAAGACAACCTCGTCCAGTTACTGAAAAATTACCAGCTAATCATCCTTTACTTACTGGTCAACGAGTATTAGATTCACTTTTTCCGTAAGAATTTATTTTGTTGATATATTTATATATTATAATATATATATATATATAAAATGAAATACATATAAGAGATACTTATAATATTAAAATTATAGGTGTGTTCAAGGTGGTACAACAGCCATTCCTGGTGCTTTCGGTTGTGGCAAAACTGTAATTTCTCAAGCTTTATCAAAATATTCAAATTCTGATGTTATTATCTATGTTGGTTGTGGAGAACGTGGTAATGAAATGTCTGAAGTATTGCGCGATTTTCCTAAATTAACAGTAGAAATTGATGGTGTTACTGAATCTATCATGAAGCGTACAGCTTTGGTCGCTAATACTTCAAATATGCCTGTAGCAGCTCGTGAAGCATCTATTTACACAGGTAAATATATAATTAATAAAAAAAAAACAATATCTCAGAATATATCAGAATTGATATAATATATTTAAGTATAATATATTTATATAATATATTTCATTTTTAAAATTTGATTATATATGTATTCATAATAGTCTGTAAGTTATAATTAAGTTATAATATATTACAGGTATTACTCTATCAGAATACTTCAGAGATATGGGTTATAATGTATCCATGATGGCTGATTCAACATCTCGTTGGGCAGAAGCACTTCGTGAAATTTCTGGTCGATTAGCTGAAATGCCTGCT